CTTTATTTCTAGCGAATTTTTTCAAAGAAACCTCTGTCCTACTACTACTATTACTACTGTTTTTTCGATTATACGATGTCATGTCTTTTTTTTTTTTTTTTTTTGGGCGATGTGTACTTGTCTCCACACAAAACTAACGTAATCCACGAATACCACGTATAATCATGTATTTATTTCAGCGACCGAACGGTATACAATGTAACGAGAGTTTGTTATTGGGTTCGTTTCAGATCGCCTCGATTCAATTCCCGGTATTAATTAAAATACGATACGCTTCGTCTTTTGTGAACGATAGAAACGCCCTTTTGTTGTTTAACGTTTCAGCGATAAGAGGAATTTCTCGTTGCGTTTCGATATTCGATAAATCATTCCTCGAGATGGAAACGCAAGGTGTTCTGGTGTTTCTATGGTTAAAAGACAGAACAATTCGGGATGGGGGTGTCGAAGAGCAATCGGAGAGCATATTAGAGTTTTATTGAACCGAGGCGAACGATTAGGGGAGTACGTCCACCGCTCCACCCACAAAAACCTCTATTACTGTTCATACTCTTTCGATATTATTGAATCTTCTCTCTGTGTATTACTTTTTTCGTTCCTCTCTTCCGTTTTATTGCATTGATGCAAGGACCACTCAATATTATCTCCCATCGCTAGCCACCACGATCTGCTTAATTTTCTATCTGTACGTATTATTATTATTATCATTATTATTACTATTATATCTTACCAACTCTTATGTATGAGTTTGTGAAGTGTACAATGATTAATATCTTATAGGGGAACACACAAAACTCTCTCTCTCTCTCTCTCTCTCTCTCTCTCTCTCTCTCTCTCTCTCTCTGTCTATCTGTCTATCTATCTTTCTATCTCTCCCTCTCTCCCTGTCTATATTTCTCTCTCGAGAAGAAAGAAACCAATCTCGATTCTTCACGAGATCGACGAGACTGCGTGTGGGAAAAAACGAAGGGAAATTCGAATGTTTTTCGCAGGCTGCTATATAGTTCGTTTGACACGAGACAAATGTTACACGTACGAGACACATGCGCACACACACGAGGGGGAATACGAAACCGGGACGGATGACGGAGAGGCGTAAATGGATGATCTAAAGTTGACGATTGACGAAATCGAGTTACTCGCGATCACACATACACACACTTGTACACACTGTTGTCTGAAAAAAGAGAGATGATGATCGAATCCTCGACGAAGAACGAGCAGCCCTCACACGCTCTTGGCCACTCTTCTATTCTATTTATCTCACTGGATATATATTATACATACACATAGAAACACATACTTACGTATACCGTTACTCCCAAAAATATTCGTAATACGTCGAATAGGAATAATATGGAAATTAGTGGAAATATTCATTTTTGTAGTACAGTGATTGGACGTAATTTCAAAAAGTGTATTAAACGATTTAACGATGTGTAATTTTGAAGTACGATAAACGACGTGTCATAAGGAAAAAAAAGCAGCTCAATCGGTTTATAATTAACGGAGATACGTAATTGGACAGTTAAACATACCTGGTGTCCGAATATTTTTGGAAGTAACCGTGTATCTTTGTTCATTTATTACTTGAGTATTTTTACAATAACATCTACTATGTGGTAATTGTATTTTACATACAGACAGGGCTACCTTTCACACGTACGCGTATTTTATACACCTGTCGTGTATAAAATACACTCTGTGTATATACACGGTGGCCGAGAACTTTCTGGCTAAACTTCGTCGATGCGCTCTATCAGCGGAGATGAACGAAAGGTTGCAGAAATGTTGATCGTTCGAACGGTGTAAACAAAATAACTCGCAAATTTAACGAGAAATTAAAATTGTTGCTAAATTATAAATTCGTCTTTAATTTTTATTACATTTTGTTGTTATAAGTTTGTTGTATGAAATGTCAAACGATCCACGTTTGTACAAAACTTCCGTCTCGTTTCCACTCACCGAACGTATCGATGAAATTTCGTTAGAAAATTCTGGGCTATCCTGTATACAAGAATATAAATTATCAATCACTTTTGTTGGGTAATATTTTCGTTCAAGCGTTAATCAGTGTTTTCTTGCATGGAGCTCGATGTGCAGCTGCAGTCTCTTTTATCTGTATTATAATCATATATATACATTTTATCATTATACATTCATATAAGTGATAAGGGTTAGGGGATATTATACAAAACTTGTCCTTGACTATATATACGTATATACCTATACACAAAATACAACTTATATATACGTATATACATATATATACAAATTTCTCTATTATGATTTGTATTGAATGTTGGATGCCATATATTATATTTTTCTCTATTAAGTCTAAACAGTTTGTTTCTTTTTTCTATCATTATTTGTCGTGGTCATACGCGAGAAAAGTCTATTCTGAACCGACAAGAAGGGGAATGAAAAGCAAAACATGTCTCGAGAAAAAAAAAAGAAATGTGACAAGGGTGGGAGATCGAAGGAAAAGTTAATCGAGAGAAATTATTATGTTTACGCTTTCCTTCTTTTTTTTTTTTTTCTTCAAGATCGTACGGATTGTTTTCGAAATTTCGAAATCACGTTCACAGATTAACCTCGTGTACACACAGGGGGAGAAAAGAGGTGACAAAACCGTGTATATACGTTTGTTGCGTTTCGAAATGGATTCTCATTCGATCGATAGACTTTTCTCAGCTTGGGGAACTTTTGAGATGGTCCTTGAACAATGAACAATCTCCGCTGACTTGTTGAGAAAGAGAAAAGAAAAGAAAAGAAAACACGAAAGGAAAAAAAACGTATATGAAAGAAAGAAAGAAAGAAAGAAAGAAAGAAAGGAAGAAAGATTGAAAGAAAGGAAGAAAGATTGGCCATGACGATAGGGTGATTATTTCCTATAGCCGCCTGGTGGTTTTGATGATCATCGAAATA